ACGGTTCCCCATCTTACTTTTCAATCTCTCCATACAACAAGTGACAGCTCACTCTCAGATTCCCCCTTAAGTCAACTTTATCTTGTATAATCTTCGAATAGCATGCTTACCTGAGGCTGTATCCACACTCTATGCACTGTATCCACACTCTATCCACAGCAAAGCAGAGAATACACTAGCAGTATGGTACGTAATAAGAGAAGGACAAGATTCTCAGTGTCAAGTTAGTGCGCAGCAAATAATGACATTTTGGTTGGATCCAATTTCCATCCCTCCCCAGTCCTCCTTTCCCCAAGACAGGTTCAGCCTTCTTACCCTAGTAACTTCCTATGCTTTACATAATATTAGCAGGAGTACATGTTTTTTACTGTCTTTAATCTAACATTAATAGAAATAAGTTGAAGTACTCCTGTATTTTTTGGCATTTAAAACTTCAAGCAACTTTGAAGAAAGCAAGGAAGCTTTCTGTGCAGCTTTTCAGTGAATTTGCAAGTCTGCCTCTTCTCTACTCAGTTTCATCGTATCTGCTGATTGTCCTTGGCTGTCATCTTTTAAGCTTACTGTGTTTATAAATCTGTTAAAAAAAAAAACACCACAAGCCCAAGGCAAATCTGGTCTACCTTTTATTTTTTCTCCTCTGAAAAAGCTGAAGTTCTTGTCACCTTATTCTGTGGTCTGGACTTTGATTCCCATCCTACCTGTAAGAGGGCAGGACAAATTTTAACCTACATCTACACTAATCTACAGGAACAGGATCTTTGACACAAGGTGTCTTCAGGCAACATTTGTAAACATAGTATGTGATAAAGTCAAGACACTACTGAGTTGAGGCTGTTGTAACTCCCTGTAACATATGGTACAATATCACAAGACATTATGCTTGAGTGTTGCAGGCACTTAAAACTAAGATTTATTATTGCCAACATTTTTCTTTCTTTCCTTCAGAAAGCTGCATGTCAAAGGTCTGATTTCTGTCTTGGTTTTGATACAAAGAAAGTAAATAGTGAAGCATTTTATCAGGATGTTCTTTAGAAGAGCTTATGTTAGCAAACCTAAGTTAGCGTACTTGTAGGATTGCTTAAGATGTAAACGGATGTAAATGATAAAATTCAAGGATAACAAGAAGTTAAGAGGAAGATAAACAATACTACCAGTTCTGAAGACTAGCAACAGGAAAACAGGACTATAGAGCATGCATTAAACTCAAAGGTAAAAAGTTCACTGCGATGAAGACTACCAGCCTTCCTCCTGAAGACCCCCAGACAACCACTGGAAGCTGTTGGACCAGCACCAAGTGGAGGTGACGAAGGAAGAGAATATGATAATGAACTAATTACATTGATATACACCCATTCCTAGAAATAGTAAATATGTACGAGCATTTAGTGTATATAAACTATGAAGTTTTTACTCCTGGTTGCACAAGTTTGGTGGAGCGATCTCCTTTGTGCCCAGCACTGAATAAACAAACACCTGCTACTCAGAGATACAAGTCTGTGAGTAGTTCTTTTCCAGGTTTCTCGGTATTAGTTAGTAGAAGCATTACCAATATACAAGTTTTGTACTTAACAACAACCACTGAAATTAAAGGAACGTGTGTAGCCAAATTTCAGTTTCTGTAGAGTAATGTATGTTTGGGCAGGAGAATTTATTAAAAAAACACATTAAATAAAAACCCCAGAGTCCTCATGTAATATTCCATTCTCCTCTTTTCTTTGATCACAGCCAAAAAACCTCTTTGATTCTTTCTTGTTAGCAGCTACAGGGAGGAGTACACTGGAACTTTTCAGTGAATTTGCCAAGGCTTGCTAGTTCCTTGAGGTCACTTGTCTTCCTGGGAAAGTTATACCTTTGCTGGTACAAATTTAGCAGCTGGAAAAGTACACTTTCCTCCTCATTTCCCCTTTAGTATCTCTGTGGAGGATGGACAAGGCAATCTCTGAGAATGCATGTGTTCAGTCTTGCATTTATATTGAACATTGATCACAAGATGCCTGTTGCTAATATCTTGGTGCTATTGAGTAGTGTTTGTCTTGCATTGTTCTGACATAAAATGGAAACTAAAAAGGAATTGAAAAGTCTTAGTCTGAAATCAGTGACTCAAAAGTTAGTGACTCCAAAAGGTTAGTCACTCCAAATACCACTTTGCAGGCACTCAGGCTTGAAAGCATTTATTTTTTTTACCTGGTCACATTTTATGTAATTGTAAGGGTTTATTTTATTGTTAAACTTTTGCAGTATATATATGAAGTATACCTCTTGGAGATCTTTACAGCATACTCTTTCAGGCTGTGTGTTTCACCTGTATAAGTGGATTCCCTGCTGATTGGTGCAGACTGGAAAAACAGCACCTTTCACGCTTAGCCATCAGTGTAAAATAGCCTTTGTCCTCTATGTCCCAATACCTAGAGAACTGAACCTTAGCTGAAACTTCACAGATGGAAAAGTACACAAATAACTTCTTGATTCAAATTCCAATTCCATTTTTATATGGCTATGGATCTTCTTCTTCCCTCAATACTTTCTCTTACAATGTTGTAATTTGCTGCTAAAAACCATAAATGTGTACAACTTATTTTTGTGCTTAGGTGTGATGAATGGATAAAGGCAGACAAGATAGTAAGATCAGCTGACAAGGATGTACCAAAAATCAAGCATGAAACAAAATAAAGGTAGTTTCTCTTCCTTGTTCACCTTTGTTTTCCTCAGCTTTGGTTTTGATTTATTCTTTAGTACTCCCCATTCCTCTGCTCTGGCTTTTTGATAGGCCTATGAATACTTCACAGGAAAAGTGACTTCCCAACCCTTTAAAAAGGAAAACATTTATCATCAAGGTTTTGTTTTTTTCACTTCAGAGTGGGGAGGAGAAACTTATCTTTCCATCTTTCCTGTATTTTTAAATGAAATTTATGCATGAATTTATAGAACACAATGAGAAAGATCCATTTTATTAACAGTGTTAGGAGCCAGCTCAGTGGGGTGAAATTTTGGAGTTCCCTCTGCAGATTCTGGAGAGCAAATCTATGACTAGTCCATATGTGTGTCTCTATCATTTTATTTCTGAGCATTTCTTTCAGAATGTGTTCTTTTCACACTGATATTTAGGCTCAGGTTGTGGTATACTCCTTGGGCAGCGGGCTGCAAGGAAGCTTTGCCTTCTGCCATAGGTGTCAGTGCTCCTTCTGCCTTGCCCTCTTCCTCCCCTTCCCTGCAGAATGGCAAAACCTGTGGAACCAGTGTACCAAGGCACTGCCCAACTGCCCAAGGGCCAAAACTGCCCAACTGCCCAACAGCTGCTGAGTCTCACAGCCTGCCCTGCCACCGCTCCTACATGACTGGCCGTGTTCACTCATAGAGCAGTGGTTGTGTTGCTTGCATGCTTGTTTTGGTGCTGACAGAGTTCCTGTCTTCAGTAGAAAGGTCTTGGCACGGACCATAGAAAGGTATTCGTAGTCTTTTAAACAAAGAGGAGAGCTTTCCTCTACAGGCCAAAAGTTTAAGATAACTGTAAGTCTCGTGTAAGATGCATGCTCAATTGAGACGTGTTTTTCATCCGTTCTTTCACCTAGAATAAAACAGACAGAAGGAAGAGGAGTATTCAGTGCTAAATACTCCTCCAACTCCCAAGTCACCTCCCTCTGTAACTGTAACAGAGTTCAGTAGCCATGAGTCCAGCGTTACCATCTCTGGGAGGCTGCCACCAAATCAAAAAGAGATACAAAGCATCAGAAGTGAAATGGATGACACAACAGATGCTCACAGTGTTGCAGGGGAGCTGCAAGATCTCCACTCTGAGGGAAATATTTTTCCAGCATGTCTTGATGCCAGTGTCAGCTCCAGTAGGAGCAATCAACCAGAGCCTGAGCATACTGGAAATGGTAAAGGAAAGGTTAAACTGAACTGTCTTCAACCTAACCAGCTCTTATTTTAGCATTGCTGATGTCTCTTCATTCTGTTATGATTACGCTTCTGGGAAGTGAGTTTTTGGAGGAAATAGTAGTCTGCTCTCTACTTCAAATGTGTAGAAATGGCATAATCATCTAGTGAGCAAAATATAACCTGCCAGGAAGTTTCTCGGCCTTTCATTAGGAATTGTGATAGTTTCAATGAGAAAAAAAAATAAATAGCAGAATTATATTTTTACTGGGCCTGGGAAGAAAAGCCCAGAGCAAACAGTACTATATTGCATAAGGAATATTTATTGTATCAAGACGGGATCATTTTGAGTAACATGCTTGCAAGCAGAAGATGCTGTTTCTTGCATAAAACTTGGCTCTCTGTAAGTTATTTATCTGGGGGAAGAAAGACCTGGTTAATGCATGCTTGGGTAACTATTTCAAACCTTATGAAAATAGTGTTCTAAAAAAAATAGAAGCCAAGCTGATATCAATGAACTGACCTCCTTAGCTAGGTTTCACATTCAGATGTGATTTTGCATATTCAGGTTCCTATCCTGAGACCACTAGAGAACAGGGGTTAATAAACACAGCCAACACTTGTGCGCATGATGTCAGCGTACTGCTGCCTGCTTTTTAACTATTGGCAAGGCCGGATCCAAAAGCTTTTTTGTGAAAGTGACTGCCTCTTTTGCAGTTCCATCAAAAGTACAGTTACTTTCACTGTGTTGTAGTGCCTAAAAAATTCTTAACACTTAGGAAGAAAATATATGTCTGACTATAATCCTGAGATGACAGAATTGATTTCTTCATTGCAACAGATGTCAGTTAACAATTGACTGAATTTTCTCAAAATGCCCTTAAGGTGTGTTTTCTTCATCATTCTGTTAGAATTGCTCTTTTGAAAGAATACAACAAAATGTGTTTCCTTAAACAAAGTAAAAGGTCATAGGTAGCTGTCAATAAATACACCTATATTGATTTCTTAATAAGAGATCTTTAGAGTGAGAAAAACACATGGAATTGCAAGTTGGTTTTATTTTTTAATTTCTGCTTCTTTCTGCTTTTTGGATTTTTTGTCTTATTTTTTGCCCCCCATTATAGTGCTTAGAGGCAACAAAGCACTTCCAAATGCACAGGGAAGAGGCAGCTCTTCTGAAACACAGAAAACAAGCCTGAAAACATCTGTAAGCAGCATAAAGAAGAGTAAATGCAGTAAGTAGAGCAACTCAGTGTGAAATGAAATACATAGAAATACTGTGTCATTTGCTTGAAATCAATGTTTTAAAAGATAAATGTGATAGGATGTAATAATTACGCTTGCAAATCTTTTAGGAAAGTATTGCCCCATAAGCAGAAAGACATGGATAATTTTGACATCTATGTGGACACATTGCACTACCTCTTTGCCTTATTTTCTGATGCAGGCAATTTATATATGGCTATGATTCTAAACCAATGAGTGTGCTGTTGTCATGATCCGTTTGGAGAGTAGAGTGCAAGTTATTTATTTGGACCTTAAGCAGTTAGATCGTATTTGAGAATCATCTTCCAAGTGTGTCCCTATACCACCCTCTTACATCCTTGCATGCACACTTTCAGCAATATACTTGTCAGTTTTCAGGATGAATTGTGGAGGCATGGTCTGGTGCTTTTATCCACCCTTTATCTCTTTAGGATTTTGGTTCACATAGGTTCACATAATAGCTCTGAGTCTACCTGCACAACAGCTAACTGGGCAGTGTTTCCAGTGAAATGCTCCCCTTTCACAGTATGCCGGAATTAGAGTGGCCTCATTGCAGACCTGGTCTGTGGTCCTGTACTTGGTCCAGGTGGTGCAGAGATCTGTGCCCCAAGCTGCTACAGCAGGATGGAGTCTGAGACAGCCACTGATAAGCTTTGGGTTGGGCGGGAACGTTGCTTTGTTTTGTAACAATCTATCTTTCCACAGGAAAATGTGGGAAAAGTGCAGAGGAGGAGGCTGATCTTAAAGAACAGGATAATTGTTTGCCCAAAGTTCGTGAGTGGAGTTTTCAAGTGTGTAAGTATC